ACTGCTTGTAGTATTCTACTAGCAAATTATTCTAATATAGTACATTTCACTTATTGTGATCATTTTGGGACTCAAACTGATAACATTAAACAGAAGAAGCTAATAAGTATACAATCAGAGAAGTTCTGGTTCCTTAGACTTTAACATTAAAATGACATGTTAAAACAATTACAAAATCTTCAACACAAGGAAATAACTCCATGTTTTCTATCTAGAAAAACACATATCAATCATTAAATCAAGGAGTCATTTTCTTTTAATTTGAAATGTTTTCAAGAAGAGTCAACTTATCTGCAGTAATCTCAAAACATTCTTATGGAACAAAGATTTTTGAACATTTTTAAAATCCTAGAAATGTTTAAATGTCATAGAAAAAATATATAATAGAAGTAATTATTAGGAGTAATTATTATGTGTTTTTCTAGATAATTACAAAATATATAACTGCAAGATTTATTAATTATAAGTATCACTATTATTATTATTATTATTATTAGTTAATGTATAATTCGTTCAGTATTGTTTGTCTGCTACTAACTTTATTAACAGTTAGCATATGCCAGTAATTTAAACTAGCAATTGTATTTCCAGCAAATAACAATTAAAAAGATTAACTTTTACAGCACTGATTAAAACTGATAACAACTGATACAGATTGCATGTTATCAGACATATATTAAGGCAGACAGTACAAAAAAAAAAGAGCTTAAAAAGGCCCATTTACCTGAAGATAATGATAACAATAACTGAATCCTGATTACAATATAGGTTTTTATAATATATTTTAACTTGTGTATTTCAGGACCTTCTAACTTTGATGATTATAACCAACAGATATTATAATGTTATCCATGATTACAATAAGTGAATGTTACTGTATTTCTATTTACATAATATAAACTGAGATATTAAGGAATAAACACTTTATCAGACCTCGTTCTGGAGTTAAAATAATAATAATAATAAAATTTTATTAATAAGAACTGTAACTAGTTACTAGACTGGACTTTCTATAATAGTTATTATAATTCAAAATGCAAATCTATAAAAATCAATATGATTAGTCTCAATTACTATTAACTCAACTAAGGAGAAAAAGATCCTTACAGAAAAAAATTCTTATTCAAATTTGCAATACAATAAATTGAAGATCTTGATTGTTTACAGCTGATCAGATCAAGTAAAGCATCTGTTGTCAGTTTTATAATTGTTTTTTATAATTATTATTGACCTTAAATTGAATACCTAATAGAAAATCACATTATTATTGAATTCATAATATATTTTTTAATTATAATCATTAGTTATAATTTTGCTACTTTTATGGAATATAATTTCTATATATCAACTAAATTTTGGAAATTGGACATGCTAAAATAGCTGAAATTTAAACACGTTAATCGTTATAACTGAATATAATGGTATAATGGAAATAAAACAGAAATATTTGCCTTTTATTTCCATAGATAATTAAATATAAACATAAATTAAATTTTTTAGTGCAATCTCACATCAGTTCAAATTATTAATTGGTCAAATAATTCAAATTGATTGGTGGTTCAAATTATTATCCTTTAGTTCAAATCCAGATGTTAAAGTTACCATATTTGGTACATTATTGGTAACTTTAATATTTGGTTAACAGCCTTTTCCATATTTTTAATATTTTGGGATTATTACATTTCTACTTGCTCAGCTTTGAAATTTTTATACTGCAATAGAACTGATGCATCAATCAATAGAAAGAAAAAGACCAAAGAATATGATGTCAATGAACTTGGAAAATATGTTGTCTAAAGTATAAATAGCAGATTCTACACATGTAGATCTGAATATGAATTCATATTAAATCATTAATATTTGATATAAAATATTAATTTATATTTCATGGATACAAGCTAAATATTTTTGTTATCTAAGTATAAAATCTGAAATTACTATCTGATCCCATCATTCTACAGATCAATCATATTTATCATGAAGTAGTTAACATTAATTACAAATATAATTATTTTGAATTTAAAAGTTCTGACTGAAAAATTTTAAAAAATCAAATATTTGGTTCAATTATAAATATTAGTTATTCAACATTTATTAATTTAATCCTTTCATTTTTTAAATACATATACAAGAGGAAAGCAGAAAGAATTTTTAATTTATAAACCTTTTCAATAAAGGTAAGTAAATCAAGAGTATTAATTTTACAATTCATTGCGGTTTCAGTGCTTGTCTTAATTTTTTTTTCTAAATACCATTTTACAAAGCCTTGAAGCAATAATTATAAACATTTAAATGGCTTGATTATTGTATCAGATCTTGAAATAATCTAAACAGAATAACAGCTATGAAACAAAAGATCTTGTTGAAAGTACTAGTTTCCAGTTAGAGCACATTTTTGCCTTTCACATTCTTTTACTTTATTCTTTTAAATTAATGTGCACAATAAATTGTAAAACATAAGAATTGAAACTGAATCAAAACCTAAAAACAATTTATTTCACTCTTTTTTAAAGTCTATTATTATGATATTAAAGAAAACTTCTATAATTCTTACCAGACTTAAAGTGCCTACTCATTTATCAATGTTATATTCTGGCAAAAATTATTAGAGCATAAATAGTAATAACACTTTTTCAGATTGCAAAATTTTAATTCTTTAGATTGTTTCAGAGGTCAAAATTTTGTTTTCCTCATTTCATGTTGTAGAGAATTGATATAGATGTATGTAGTTCTCTATATACAGTACATCTATATCAATAAACTTAATTTAATAATAAAGTAATTTAATAAATAAAAATAAAATAGACTTGATAATTTTTAAAAATAATTTAAATAATTATCCTGTTATAATTCATTTGAATTTCAGAAATTGAATAAATACTTAACCTTGAATAAATTAAAAAGAAAGAAATCCATCATCATCATGANGTACTCGTCCCACACATCCTTATTTCTGTTGGAAGAGAAATTTAGAATTAGATAAGTGTTTGGGTTTATATAATGGAAACCATGGGATATTCTACAGTAATTCTTTAGGAAACTACTAATGTGTATTGTTAATGTGAATTCAAGTGATGAAAATTCGTGAGAAATTACAGGAAATTGTTTTATTTTCAGGAAAGAATTCTTTTTATGATTATAGAAACGTTTTTAAGTATTAACTAAGTTATGTATTAATTGTTCTAGTTATATTTAGATATAACTAGAACTAATAATTTTACATCTAAATTACATCTTAATTACATCTAAATTTAGTATATATCTTTTAAAATTTGACAATATTTTAATTAATAATTAATTGAGTAACTATAAACAAAAGCCAAATAAAGAAGCAAAGACAGTTATTACACAGTGTTACAGTTAGAAGACATTTGTGTTAAAGAAGCAAAGTTTTTTAAAATACAAATGTCACATAAAATCAAATTTATGAATTATAATTAGTTGAACATAAAATATATCACCAATATTTTAAGCAAATTAAAATATTGAGATAATATATTAAGGCTTATTAATTTTTAACTTAGAATTCAAATTTCACATACTTTTGTTTATTTTTTTAATCAATAAAGTAATCATTATTGTTTTGAATAATGTATAATCTAAACCAGGTTTTAATGTTTTGCAATATCTTTTTTTGATAATTTGTTAAAAGTACAAGATACAAGAGTTCAACAAATATAAAAATTTTTACAGTCCAACTCAGAAGTAACAGCAAAACTGGTTTGAAGAATGACTAAATCTTCAATAAAACAGCAAATATAGACTATTAAAAAATTACACAAGTTAAAAATGATCAAAATAATATAATTTGAACTCTTTATAATTTAATTTAATTTGAACTCTTTGTTTAATATAAAAATATTAAACAAAGAGTTCAAATTAAATATTAACTATTATTTGTGTTTAAATATTTATAATTTAAGCAATAAGGCAGCTAATATACACAAGAAATAATTATTTCTTGTGTATATGTCTTCAATTTAGTTTTTGTTTATATCAGACACTAATTATTTTCTTATCAAGAATTGCATTCTTGATAAGTAAATAAACTTACTATTGTAATTATTTATGAAATCATTTCTATTTTTGTCATAACTTATATAACCAATTATTCTTGCATAAAAATGAAGAAAGATATTGTAATCTAGAGAATTGCATACATTGATGTTTAAATTTTATAGAAAACAAAACAATTTTCATTAAGTAAAATTCTAAATATTCATAAATAATTTTTTCTTATTTTATTCGAACAGATATTCTTATTTCTTTAAGAAATCTGTTCTTTAAGAATATCTGTTAATAAGATTATAAGTTAATAAGATATTCTTATTTCTTAAAGAAATAATATTCATTCTTAAAAAAAAAAAATAAAACTCATTCAATACTTTAAATATATAAAATAATTTGATTTTGAATATTCAATCTCCCACAAAAAGCCAAATTTAGAGTTCTCCGAAGGAAAAAAAAAACAAAGAAATCTCCAAAATGCCACCCAAAATCCAAACTGAGAGAAAAATATTTTGTCGAGCATATTCTTTAAATAATTGAGCAAGGCTTGAATTATTTTTAAAAATAATTTAAATAATTATCCTGTTATAATTCATTTGAATTTCAGAAATTGAATAAATACTTAACCTTGAATAAATTAAAAAGAAAGAAATCCATCATCATCATGAAAACAAATGATGTTACCTCATGTAGAATATCAAATATATTTTCAATGCTGTATGTACAATTTAAATAACTCAAAATATATATTTGGCAATTGTATATGGAATTTAAAAGCTAATTAACATATATATTTTGAGTGAGATATGTTATTTAATTGAGTAATTTTGTTTCAATTGTAACCAAGGTGTGAACATAATAAATATGTGTAATTCAAATACATGTGTATTTTAATGATCATAGATAATAAATGAATCAAAATAACTTGAAATTTCATAAAAATCAATGATTTTTTTATTAATGAAATTAATTAATAAAAGGTGTTAACCAACCTTTTATTATTGGTCGTTAAGTCCTTTTGTCTAGAAGCGATTATCAGAAATACTTCTTACTGCTATAGACACCATTACAATATTAAATTTACGTTTATACTACCTTAAACATTAAAAAAATAATCAATATATTTTAATCGAAGTATTCTTTAAATAATAAAAAAATTAAAAAAAAAAGAAAAGACGTATTCAAAATAAACGAACTTTATTTAACAGCAAAATGTCAGACGATCGAAAAAAAGAGATTCGACTCACGTCCGACAGGTGGCGAAAGGACGAAAATGACATCACGTTAGTTGCAACGTCATACCGGCATGTTCGTATAAATACGAAGTGGCAGACGAGATTATAAAATTGCCGCAGTCTTTGACGGGTTGTTATTGGAGTGAGATTCGGTCGACGAAGAAGAAGGGTTGAGGTTTTTTTAAGGAATTATTTCCATAATGGAGGTACCTAATAATTATTGCGAATTTTTTGAAGGTACGGAGAAATTATTAGAAGTATGGTTTCACGGAGGAGACGATAGCTGCGATTTGAGAAGTATACCCAGGTCAGTAGGCCTAATATTAGGCTTAGATGTCAGTGGTGAAAATATTTATTTAGTGTTTTTTTGTATGTAATTAATGAACCGGTTAATTACGTTTCTTGATCTTTCGGGCTATTAATACGCTCGATCAACGCGATCGATCGATCAAAATGATACGACTGCGATCGTTCGCTTCGGTCAATATTCGTTTTAACCTGAAATTTTAAACGATTTACAGTATGTATACAGATAAGAAATATAAAACATTATTTTATTTTTAATTTAATTGTCAATGTTGAAACGAGACAATTACAGAAAAAAATTGCAGCATTTTTCCCCCCGATATTTTAACGTATTTATTCATTTGATGAGTGTAATTAAGAAATTAATCAGCAAATTATATGCAAAATCATCAAAGTTTTTAGTAATAAATCTAAAGGAAAATGTTTTGTTCGATTTTCCTTTAGATTTATTACTCAAGGGGAAGAAAATTCCGCGAAATTCAGTACAACAAATACGCAAAAAAATTTGAATTTAGGTTGTTTGTTTGTTTGTATTATACGGAGTGACTTGTCGTGTTTGTTGTTTTTTAAACGTTAAATCTTAGTTGATCTTACAATCGATTTAGACACGTAAGAAAACACTGTAAATGATACTGATAATGATAATGTTATATCGATACAATAGTAAGTTAAATTCATATTTCGTCTCCTGAAATTCGAACTTCATACTTTTCAGAATGCACTTGCTCGAAATTAAATCGTCGCTTGTCTTGTTTAGGATGTACGTTGAAGATATTTTAAGTTGTATTCTTGAGCAGATGTAACTCGTAAAGCATTCGTTAAAAAATTTTTTCTGGCATGTTTTTCACTCCTGTTTGTAAACTCTGAACGATTTTCCTTCTTTACGGATTTTATCGAAATAATTAAAACGTTTTATATATAAATATCCATTTTATTTCTAATAGTTTATCATGTTATCACTGAAGTTTCCAATTTTGGAATCGCTCATTTCTGTTCGTGTGATCTTCATTGGCACACTTCCTTCATTCTTGACCTTGCTAATTTTTTTTTCTATAGGAAACGGAAGTTATCATAATTTTTATTAAATATTAGACTGATTAAATGATAGTTAAAATATAATGGATTAAAAGTTTTGATTAATAACGATTTCGTTATTATAGAAATAAAATAATAAACAAATTATCTGAATTTTTTTTTCTTTGCTGGGATTCTTTTTAGAACCAAGGTCAATCAATTTCAATGGCACAAATGATCTAACCATGTTGAAATTTGGTTATTTAAAACTATGATTTAGTGTGAACTTCATTAACAGTAAACTATAATCTTTGCCTTTTTATAGTTTTCTGAGTATATATTCTATTAAGTGTTGAGATAATGTTACTAATTATTTAGATTGTTGCTATTTAAACTGTCATTTAATGTTTGATTTGTTGCCAAAGAGAATAGTTTTAATATTTCAAATTCATTCTAACTGAATTAAAATATATTTAAATTTAATGTAAGTCAAAGTAGATAATTTTATGATAATTTCAACTTAAAAATACTGTAAAAGATTAAAGGGTATTGACTGTTGATAGATCATCAGTTAAAAAAAAAATATATATATATAAACTGGTGATAAAAATTTTTGATAAATGAAAATAAAAAAGTATTATTTGGTATCATTAAAATAGGGGAAAGTATTTACCATAAAGTAAATCAAATTTCAATTATCTATTAATAATCAAATAATGCCAAATTCACTATCAGCCTATAATTTGGTAATATAATTGAGAAATTAAATATACAAATATGTAATTTGGACTAACTTGTAAGATACATAATTGAGTTGCAATATTGTATAAATTTAATAATTAGAATTTATAATAATCTGAAAGGAAAGGTAGATCTAGGGTAGAATTCAAACCTGCAACTCTCATTTACCATGCAGATGCATTGCCAATTATACTACCTGGACCACCATCTGATCTTTGCTTCCAGGTGAATTAAAAGATATAACTACACTGGGTATGCTGCTGCTCAGTCATCCCTGGCACTCAATCAACTTATGCTTGTTGAAGTTTTATTAATATTTAATCATTTTAATTATTAAATATATAAATATCTAATATATCCAGGTTAAAGCCTGGTGATAAATCTAGCATTATTTGATTATTGAAAGTATTTTATTTTTTAATATAGAATAAAATTCAAGATCTAATTATATAATAAGATATACTTGATCAACATGTTAAATAAACAAAATAAAATAACAATGCGTTTGGCTTCTATAAGAAGCTGCTATTGTAAATCTGGAGATTGTGATAAGTGCTTTTTAAACTTGAACTGTTGAAAATATTAAAAATTTAGTTTGAATATCTTTTTTGACTGTTTAATGTTATAAAATATTTGCTTTAATGTAATGAATGTATATTTCTGAAATTTAAACACAGTAGAACCTGTTTGATACTGGTAAGAATATCCATAATTGTCATTTAATATTATTGAAATTAGCATGTTCCAAAATGTAAGTTAATTAGTTAGAACAATTATATAACAGCTTTATTAACTTGTCCTTTCAATGTTAGAATTTCTATTAATTATAGTCTTATTCTTGCTTACTCTGCTTAATATTATCTCTTTGATATAAATGAATTCATATTAAATAGAATTTATGAAAAAGCACTCCAAAGATTAGTCTAAAAGATATACGCAAATTGTTGCAAGTGTCCCAAAAACTATCTTTATAGCGATCTTTTTTGTTCTTATCTTCTGTTTAAGACTTGCTTATCAATATAACACTAAAGTACTTAAAAGATTTGTTTTTAATTAATAACATGTCAGATAAATTATGAAACATCATTTGCATATTTTCTCATACGAATAATTTATATTTAATTTCTTTAATTAAATTAAAGAAGAATTGATTAAAAATATTGGAATTTGTATATATGGTATTTTGAAGTTTATTCTAACCTATTTTCATAATTTTATAACACTTGTTATAATTTTAACACTTGTTCATAATTTTATAACACTTGTTATAATTTTAACACTTGTTCATAATTTTATAACACTTTTGTTTACACTTGTAAACAAAAGTATTTTTAAAAAATATATATATTTTCATCTTAATTTTCCAGCTTATCAAGAAATTGAATTTTTTTACATTATTAGATAACTAAATGTTATTTCATCCACAAAAATGAATTAATAAAATTTTTGTTTTTCAAATTTCTATTAAACTGTGTATTTGTGTGTTCCTGTGAAAATACAAAGTTCAGTAACTCTTAGAAATTACTGGTAAGTCTGGACATTTATTGATATTGAGTTGTAAAAGTCTGAAATCCCTGATAAAATGCCCACATTTTAAGCTTTTTGTCAAGGATTCCAAGAGATACTGGTAAATGTCCAGTTCTACTGATTAGCTCTGATAAGAAAAAAAAGGATTCATACATATCTTAATATTTCTGTTTTGTAATCTGCTTAAAAATATACATTAAGGAAATTAAAGTATTATCGTAATGACGTCTATTTAATTTTTAAAATAAATTTGGCAATAAATAAGCAGTGCATATGAATAAAGCATCTATTATATGATTTTTTGTGTGTTTACATAAGAATCTTGTTTTTAATGTAGCAGATTTTATGAACTTTATCTTTCTTCTTATTCATTCAGTTAATCTTACTTAACTAATGAACAATATAACACACTAAAATGAAGTGAAAAGTACAAAAAAAACATGGCCAGTAAAATACCTGTTTGCTATAGATATTTTGAATAGGTATGATATTCTCAACATCAGAGTGAAACAAAACTAATACCAGTCTACTGGAAAAGAAATTCTGTATGTTTTGAACTGTTCAATGCAATACAGTAGAGCGTCGATTTTCCGAAACGTCAATCATCCGAAAGAATTCCAGTCGGCAAACTTAAATTTTCGCCAGTGCTGTGTCGCTTCAATCTTTGGCTATGTCTTGGGCTACTCAAATATTTTACGTTTTTGATACTAAATTAACATCTGAAGTATAATTTNTTTAGAGAGAGAGAGACAACCTCTCTTTTAGAGAGAGAGAGACAACCTCTCTTTTAGAGAGAGAGAGACAACCTCTCTTTTAGAGAGAGAGAGACAACCTCTCTTTTAGAGAGAGAGAGACAACCTCTCTTTTAGAGAGAGAGAGACAACCTCTCTTTTAGAGAGAGAGAGACAACCTCTCTTTTAGAGAGAGAGAGACAACCTCTCTTTTAGAGAGAGAGAGACAACCTCTCTTTTAGAGAGAGAGAGACAACCTCTCTTTTAGAGAGAGAGAGACAACCTCTCTTTTAGAGAGAGAGAGACAACCTCTCTTTTAGAGAGAGAGAGACAACCTCTCTTTTAGAGAGAGAGAGACAACCTCTCTTTTAGAGAGAGAGAGACAACCTCTCTTTTAGAGAGAGAGAGACAACCTCTCTTTTAGAGAGAGAGAGACAACCTCTCTTTTAGAGAGAGAGAGACAACCTCTCTTTTAGAGAGAGAGAGACAACCTCTCTTTTAGAGAGAGAGAGACAACCTCTCTTTTAGAGAGAGAGAGACAACCTCTCTTTTAGAGAGAGAGAGACAACCTCTCTTTTAGAGAGAGAGAGACAACCTCTCTTTTAGAGAGAGAGAGACAACCTCTCTTTTAGAGAGAGAGAGACAACCTCTCTTTTAGAGAGAGAGAGACAACCTCTCTTTTAGAGAGAGAGAGACAACCTCTCTTTTAGAGAGAGAGAGACAACCTCTC